GACCAGTAGTTAATTAAAAGGCAAGGCACAACGGAAAATTTGCACAGAAACGGGTAAAAACGCTTCTTTACATGCTAGTCGTTGCACGTTTGTCAAAGGCTCCTGCTTGTAGGTTTGCATTTTTAAAAGTATGCGCTTAGACATTCTTCTCCTCTTCCCCATTAGACCCTTATGGCAGGCCAAATATTCAGCTTTACTTCAGGGCTGGTGGGAACACGTTTATTAAATGAATAGGTAATTGGTTTATTAGTTTATTACACCCTCGGGTTTTAAGTGGTCAATTTATTTTCCACCTTTTCTATGGTGAATCGTGCTCTAAAAGTGAGAGCCGAGTGTCTGTCTATAACCAGCTGGGAAAGATCTCGTGATGCGCCACACGCCATTTGGCAGCAAAATCATCTGTTTGCTTCACATACGCAGCAACCGCACTCCTAAGATGTCAAGTGGCAAACTTCCTCGCGTCCTTCCTCTTGAGAGCTTCGTTTGTGCAATCTTCAAGGAGTTAACTGCATTAGAAATAAAATTCCACTTCGTAAATTCAGGGTGACAGCACAATCTGAGCTTAACCTAATATTCTTTCATTACTTTTTATGGAGCCTGAAACATGAAGTCAGTTTTAACCTGGGGGAAGTGCCATGGTTTTGCATCCATTGTAGCTAGTGCTGAACTTCCTGCGCATTCCTTTTGTATTTCCTCGGTACCTACGAAGGACATTCGCTTTAAATAGGAACTTGCTACGCTTACATACACATCTACAATCCCCAAAAGACGTTACAGGATATATTCCAACTCAACACTTATCTGCCCTCCTCGACATCATTCGTGAAGGCTATTCTAAGGTAGTACAGACGTTAAAACTGAAATACACCTTTTGAGGCACTACTCCGCTTTATCTCTCCTTCATGACTGACTTTCACTAGGAGGGTCCTTAGTGTATATTTAGCTGTACCAACCCTCCTCTCCCCACTGCTTCCACTTTTAGCCTCCTTTGTGACACTGGCAGGCTTCACTACTTCCGTGATTAGGCCTCAAGGCACTATACCAGGCCGTTTATTTCTTTTGGTTGTCATAAAGATTCAGCTAGAGACTTTAAAATTTTTCATTTAGCAAATAGAAGGGTGAGAAAAGACTGAAAATTGAGGTGCTTTACCTTCAGTTATGATAATCTTACTCGTTTAAGTAGAATTCTTTAAGTGTTTTCAAGTATTTCCTTATTTATGGTTATTTTTGTAGTTCTGCATTAATTTGAACTTTCATGTTCCAAATTCATGTCCATAATAGGTGGATGAAATAGGCAATCACTAAAGCCCCTAGCCTAAGTAGCAGAGCAACGGTGTCGAGGTAACTAAGCTCTGAACTGATTGCGCCAGGGTTGATGTCTCCCTTAAAATCATTCTCACTAAAGAGCTCATTTTAATCTGCCCAACTGTCACCATAGAGTTGCGCTGTACACACACGCGTTTTTCAGTCATTCGTCGCGATATTTATAGTTTGTTTGCATAAAAGGCATTAATACCACTTGAGAGCACCCATAAATGTGTACTCGTCCACCGAACTACAAAAGGGTCTGATTTCGGCAAAGCAATGCTAACGTTTATAAGGTGAGTGATGAAACCCTTGAGTATCCTTTGTCCTGCTGATTACAGAGTAAATGACCTTCCATTGATAAGACTTGCTGATATCAGGGTAAGGGTGCTTCATGCTGGTGGCAATACTCATCAACATACGCACAGCTCCAAAGTGATCAGATACACTGCATCTGCTTGACACCATCCCTCTAACTAGCGTAAAGTGACTGTCTCTATTGCTGTAATTTCTTGGAACAAAAGAAATGGAGGCTGTTACGAAAACACCAGCTGTAGGCTTGTGGTGAATGTTGAGATACACTAGCATAAAAGACCCCATTTTGCCAATGATACAATAAAGTCAAAGAAAGTTTCGGTCCCTGCAGATTCAAAACTACTTCCATTTGGCTGTTTGCAGTCCATGCCAGTGGCATCTTTCATAATAGTGAGTTATGTTACAGCGACAGGGCTGTCTTGAATCAGTACACCAACCAGTATTCCCACGTGAAATATATCCTGGCCTCTTAAAAGGTGTTGTCGGATAGGAAAGCGAAGAGGTGTGAAGCCTCAAAAATTTCATCCCCTCAAAGAGGACGCCGGTGAGACGAGAGCGGTT